TCAACGATTAAAAAGAAATAAATAAAAATGCGTCGTGCGAGATTGGTTGATGTCAAATAACAATGCGAATAAAACGATTAAACTTGGGGGTTCTTTCTAATTAATGACGAAGGGAATAGAGATTGATTCCGGGGTAACCAGATTTCTGGCAGATCTGACCTAATTACATGAAATTAATTCAATTGAGCCTAGCTAATCATTACTAAGTTCTTACCGCTCTCGCGGCATAGAGTACAATAATTTAGGGGACCAGGCTGGTCTCTCATGCGACAAGACCCTAAATTATTGTCAAGACGAGCGAGCTCACGGCCCCTTAATCGCTACTAATCTCTTAGCGAACGATTAAGTGTGTGTGAATGTGTCCTAGAATAAACTAGATCTCTCTTAATTTATTCTATAAGCAATTGTAATTCTAGCCGCGGTTCCATGTTACAAAAGATATCAATTAAATTATTCAAACACAAATTAAACGGTATTCATGCAATTAAACCATCAAGAATCTAGCCATACATCATGATCAACTCCTTCATCAATCCAAAATCCTTAATTAAAATTACTCACAATTCATAATTGAAGAATCAATAGAATTGGGAAGAAAAGAATTAATTGTCATTAATTAAAAAGGTTGAACTTACAAAGAATCCCAAAAGATTTGTGAACAAGGCTGAAAAGCCTTCTAAAATTCGTGCTAGGCACTCTCTCTAAGCTCCCCCTTGAAAACGAGGGTTTACAGGCTGTTTAAATTGAAAGATCGGGTAAAATTTAAGCTGATTTGGGATTTCCGGAGGCAGGCACGGTGCCAGGCACGATCGTGCCTTCGATCATGCCTCTGGAGCAAAAACGCGCATTTTGGGCAGTAGCTCCGCGATGCTTTCTCTTCACGCACGATCGTGCCTGACTTTGAGGGCATGATCGTGCCTACTTAACTTCCGAATTTGGCAATGCTTCCTTCATGAAAGTTGTAGATAATGAAGTCCTATATCCATTCCGATTTGACGAATGTGATTTAAATCATCCAATCAAGAGATATTATCAAAACGGTGGAAGGTATCACTCTGAAATCGCAGCAGAGATCATCTGACTTCATCGTCTGTTGTCACCATCTTTCTCTCAGATTCTAGCAAAGATGTCTTCATAAGATTTGTAGCCCTTGAAATTAGCTTTCATATGAAATTTGAATCGTATACATTGAATGTTTGTACAAAGAGATATGCTTGAACGATTGACAGAAGGTCATCCTGATCGCCGATTTCAAGCTCCATTCATCTTCTTTTGATCCCGTAGCCAATCCTAGAGCTTTTTTCCTTCAAATCTTCATCGTGAACCTCCAGGTGACCTCCAAAGCTCTCAAATCACTCTTGAATGCTTCTCAACTCATCCTGATTTCTTCTCAAGCGCCGGTGCCGAACTCTAAAATCCTCATTTTGACTCCAAATGACACAAAACTCGAACCAACGCCCGGTAAACATAACTTGAGCTAAAATTGAGACTTGTAACACCTTAAAGCTAGGGAAAATCATCAAACCCGATCCCAACACGCATCAAATGCATGTCTAAATACGGACTTATCAGATTTCCTCACACTTAAGCTTTTGTTTGTCCTCAAGCAAACTGAACAACGGGACTTACGATAATCACCACACGAAATCAAAACAATTAGCATGCACATGTAGTTAAAGGGATATTCACAGAACAGACAAACTAAACCAAAAAAATCTTCCCTAAACTACATCTTTGTACTCTAGCTAAAATATTTGACAAAATTATTCACAACATCCTCAAAGTAGTGACAGCAAGCTCTAATAAACTAGCTACCGATCAGAAGGACTTGTGAAGGCGGTGGTGAATGGTGAATGATAATAAACACCCCCTTTTTTGAGAGTTTGGAACATCCTAACAAAGACTTGATGCGATCAGGAACTTCGGGGCTATTCTTTATGGTCAAGGAACTTAGTAGGCCACAAATTAGGAACAATCATTTAAACCTTATGCAAAGAGTAGACATGGTGTACAACTAAGCTAAACAGCCGCAACACATTTGTGCTTTGACGTATACTTGAAGTACGCGGAGGACTAAATCTAATTTTTGAGATAGCCTCCAAGTTCATTCATTACGTTTAGTTTCGTTGTCATGTTGGCACGAGAACGCCATTTCTTTCGAAAGATACCCAAGTCTCATCTTACGCTTTTTGACCGGGGCTCCCATTCCCTTTTTCGCAAAGTAAGAGGTCTGGCTATATTAATTTTTCACCTTTCGGGTTTTCACTAGACATTACCCCATTCTAATCTCGGCCTCACCAAGGAAAAATAGCAATTAAAGTTCATTAATTCAGTCGTGAATCCATACCTACAATGCAATCCTCGAAAGTATCAAATTCATAAAAAGTGACCGCTCTTACCCCATGTGGGGCATAGGAACAGTGCCAAAAGTGGCTCCTACACAAAATTCCCTAAACTTAGAAAATTCATCCCCTAGTTCCCTAAACACCAAGACTATGTCAGAAAAATTCATAGGTAAGAAAACACGGGTCATTTGGCTATGGATCTTAATTAATTGGGTAAACAATAAACGATCAGGCTCAAAATGACTTCTCCTAAAGAATTTTTTCAGGTGAGATGGAAGATTTATGAATTAATTTGATAGGTGACTAATGCCTTCAACCTTTCAACAACTAGATTACCGTGAAAGCAATTTAAGCCTAAACACTTTAAAGATGTTCTAAAAGCATAGTCAAAACGCTAGCCATTTCACAAAGATACCGTTTAAAGAAAAAAATTCAAAAATTTTGACATGAATTTCCTATGAATATACAACTAACACCTGCACATGCTAACTTTAATAATCACATGTAGCAACTACTGCCCGAATGCCCGATTCACTCCCCCACACTTAAACTTTGGCATCACCCTCGATGACCAAAAATGCACTATGCACAAGGGGTAAAGAGGAAAGGGTCACACGTGCTCAACTTAGCTCAAGTCAATCGTTTACAAAACAGGCGATTATAAAAGTTGCAGAAACTTCCCTAAGGCACTGGTCGGTGCAGAACTAAACTGAGTCAAGTAATCCTCAGCACATCATCCCCAAAGCAAGACCCTGAGCTGCACAAACAAAACACACAAACACAAAAACAAACCCAAAAAACACCCCGGATTTTTTTTTGTTTTTTTTTTTGGGTTTTTTTCCTGGGGGTTTTCTTAAAGCAAACAAGCAAACAAACAAATGCAGAAATAAGCTTGGGTTGCCTCCCAAGAAGCGCTATTTTTAACGTCGTTTGCCCGACGCAACTTCCTCATACGCTCTCAAATAGCAAAGACTGCAGTGGTGCACTAATAATCAATGTCTCCAGCTTCCTCTCAACAAATGCCATTAGGTGTCACATATCTTTAAATTCTTCAGTCCACGTAGGCAGCATATGGTCTTCATAACCCTCATCAGCGCAGAAGTGAAGTATGAAACTCTCATCTATGTACAGTTGGAATTTGATTCCAGACTGTTTGGCGTTGCGTCAACAATTCAGAGAGCGACCTCCTTCCAGACCACGAGATATGGACTAGAGCTCGGCTGTGCGGGATTCGTGCGAGAGCGCGACGTGGTCGGAAGTGAGAGGTGCATGCAGTCGGATTTTAATTCCAGACTGTGGCGTTGCGCCATCAATTTAGAGAGCTGCTTCCTTCCAGAGTGCGAGATATGGACTAGAGCTCGGCTATGCGGGATTCGTACGAGAGCCCAGTGGGGTCAGAAGCGAGAGGTGCTCTCAAGGTTAGGACCGTCAAGTAGTCCAGTCTCGTGGCAAGTACCACAACTTTAGGGAGGATCATCTCCACACTCACTCGGTAAGTGTGAAGACTTACTCCTCAAGGAGTGGACCATCAAGTAGTCCAACCCTTCGGCTTTGCCTCTATCTCCCCCGCCTTCAATGCTAAAAGGGGAGACGAAAAATCGTGGGGTGCAAGGACTTATACGCATGCCTTGTCTTATATTCGGGAGCCGCGTTGGGCAATTATCTCTGCTTTGTGAGTAGGGTACAAGGGCTTATACGCATGCTTTGCCCTACCTTGTTGGGAGCCGCTGGGGGCTATTATCCCTGAAGAGGTGAGGGCTTGCAAAGTGGCATCGGAACTTGGAGAAGATATGGCCGAGGGTCTGCGTGGACCCTAATCCATCAAATAAAGATGACTTGGGGTTATAGCCAGGGGCTGGTGCAGACTCTAAGTCATCAAATAAAGATGACTACGAGTTGCGGCCGAGGGGCCGATGTGGACTCTAAGCCATCAAATAAAGATGACTAGGAGTGGCGGCCGAGGGTCGATGTGGACTCTAAGCCATCAAATAAAGATGACTAGGAGTGGCGGCCGAGGGGCTGATGTGGACTCTAATCCATCAAATAAAGATGACTAAGAGTGGTGGCCGAGGGGCAGATGTGGACTCTAAGCCATCAAATAAAGATGACTAGGAGTGGCGGCCGAGGGGCCGATGTGGACTCTAAGTCGTCAAATAAAGATGACTAGGAGTGGCGGAGGGGCCGATGTGTAAGGCAAATAAGTAAGACTAGAGTTAATAAACGAGTTATTATTTGTTTTTTAAATTGACTGAAGTTACTGTAGAAGGTCATTTTAGCTACTTGAGATACTATGTCATTTCACAAAAATTGACCAAATTTGACTTACACTTAGAATAATAAAATGAAAACTCTGTGGTTGAGATTTGTGCAGATGTAAGATCAAAGAAATAACTTTAATCACACATTTATTACTTTTAATGAAAATGACAAAATATTTTAGGACAATAAATAAGGAAATTAGGAAAAGTCATGTGGGAGAGGGGAGTATTTCACATTTTCACCAATTTTTTGCATTCAAATTGAATATTATTACTAAATGGGCTCAAAGAGCACCTTGCAATCCCTAACCGTCTCTCTTTTTCTTCTTCTTTTGGTTGTGTGTAAGATGGGCTGTATTCTAGTGATCCAGTCCAGACACGGCAAGATTGAATGGACCGGGTAACTAAAAGTGCGCCATTTTGACGTTGTGTTCGAGTGCGTGTTTCTTGGTGAAGGAAGACTCGTATGAATATGTCATGGATATCTTACTGGAAAGGATCGGGTCGCTGTTAGTAGGGTTCCATTGACGAATCTATCAGACCGGTCGTGTTTCTTTTTTACGAATCTAAACGGAATCTCGAAATTCACCATCTGAAAATCTGAGAGGAAGATGTGGCATGAAGCAAGGAGGTCGGAGAAAAAAGTCCACGACATGATGGACGCCGCGCGGAAGAGAGCGCAGCGCCGTGCTATCTATCTTGCTAAGCGGCGGGGAGACCCCCAGCAATCTATCCAATCCGTCGGTACCCGATGTCGCATCTATCGTGATGATGCCCTCTATCAAGCCACGGAGGATCAGCAGGGCCTGTATGAATTCTCTATAATTTCTCATCTAAAGCTTCTAGTTGCACATTTTAGTTCCTTTACATGTTTCAGTTTTTTTTTTGGGATGAAAAACTTTACATGTTTCAGTGATTGTATCCCAAGATGCTTTGTTATGATAGTTTAGTATCATTGGTGCATTCATTCATGTTAAACTGTTTTACGGGCTATCCACAATTATTTGGTAGTACTTATTATCATTGAACCCCAAATAGTTGGCGGGGCCAGTGAGAGGAATGTTTTGCTCTAATTAATAGTTCAAGATTAGTCTAAACTATAAATTCATGTAGAAAACATAGTTGCAATGTTTTGAGATAGATGACCTTACTTTTGTCTTTAAAATTTTATTTCAAAGGATTAATGAGATGCAACCACACAATCGTTGTCATCATAGGCTATTGTCACCTCGATCGAAAATATCATGAGATACTAATTAGTTGAGATAGGTGCTACAGTCATGTCCTATTACCATGCTAATTATGGAACATATCAGAATGGAATTGTTGGTACTATGAAATAAAATTCTGTAATGATCAATTTACTTGAACTTAGATTGATCATAAGTGTTCATCATTTACATCAGGATACCTTGGAATGGCAAGCAGGACATTCTAATAGACAGGTACCTACTCAAGTCCTAATTTCTAATGTAGAAGGGGAATCATTGGTGTGCAATGTTGATGGAAAATTCTCTTGACAGATTTGATGGACGTGCTCTTCTTGATTTCATCCGGGGTACCAGTTCACGGAATATTCATGCTCCGCAAAGAACTGAAGAGGAAGAAGAACTAGAAGAGTTTGTTAATTTTGAGCGTTACCGGGACTTAATTAAGCATCGGCGCAGAGGATGTCGGTACTTTTTTGTTTTTTCTGATACCACCTGCATTTTTTTCTTGAATTTTAGAGTTATATGTCTCACTATTGGCATGGATGCAACAAATAAAAGCAACATGCCTTTATTTCGCCCTTCTTTGGTCGAAAAGAGGGGGAGACAATGAGAGGATAAATGGGGAGAGGTGAGGGAAGAGAATGGAAGAGTTTACAACAATGCCACACTTAGTTCAATTGAGGAATGAGGATGATTTATTGTTTTAGAAAAATATACTACCAGTTATTTTGTTGTAACTAATAATTTAGCAATGCGTATGTATAAGTGTATAACAATAACAATGTCTAATAAGATATTACCAGTTAAAATAGATTAAGAAAGAATATTAGCTCCTCCAGAATACCCCAAATTCGGGTAGTGAGATATGAGGAGTTTGGAGGAATACGTAGCTCCTCCAATTTCCTTCCTTTTCCATTCTAACTCTCCCAACCAATCGCTTTCCACTTACTCCCTTTCTCTACAACTCCACAAGGGTGCAGAGAGGCATATAATCTTGCATTATATCTTTGAAACATTCTCTCTTATTCCATGCAAAAGCTGAATTTAATTTCTTCACAGTCAATGATGCGGACGGTTTACAACACGTTAACCTAGAGCTGGAGGCTAAGATTGCTGCTCAATTTGGTGCAGACAGGTTTTTCAGTGACACTTTTTTCTTTCATATTGTATGAATAATCTTACTTGCTCCACCCCAAAGAAAGTATTAATTTCACCAGGGCGCAACTTTTTAATTTTAGTAAGGTGCATAAATAGATATACTTGTTGCTTTAAGGAAATTTCCAGCAGGAGTACTATGTTTTCCCAAAATAGGAGTTAGTTACTGCCATCCTGAAATCATAGTTACATATTGTGGCATTACTAGACATTAATATGGCAGTGTGAATGCCATCATCATCCTCATCATTATCATTACCCCAGTGCCGCAAAGGCTCCCACCTACGGTGGGGTAAGGGGAGTCGGATGTACGCAGTCTTACCCCTGTACTAAAGCACAAAGACACTGTTTCCGGAGGCAATATGAATGCCATACTTGGTGTTATTTTCCTAGTATGACAAATATCTCACATCATGCTCATGTTTGGAATTTCACATTGTTTTTACTCTTATTTTGCGCAATTTCCCCTGCTTAACTAAATTTAATGCCTAACTTGTTTGTGACACTTCTATGATAAAGAAAAAAAATATTTATAGAAATTTCCTTTTTTTCTTCAAATATAATTTTTTGAGGACACAAGTAAGATTACAACTAAGACTTTGAGGGTTGGAGGGTGGTGGTGGTGGTTGACGAAGAGAATAGTTAACATATATCTATTTTGCGTTTGTCGTTACAAATGTGATAGATCTCAAGTAACACAGCCTTCAACAAACAAGGGATCTTATTCCCAAGTGGGGTTCTCTTATGATGGAGATGTAAAAGACGAGGCTCATTATTCAGATGCGGAGGAAGATGGTGATGATGAAGAGGAAGAAGAAGATGATTTTAATAGTGATGATAGCAATGATGAAGCAATGGAGTCGGTTGCTAAAGAATTTGGAGTGAAGAGATATGGCTGGCTAGTCTACATGGATAAAAAGGCAAAAGAGGAGGAAAGGAGACAAAAAGAAGTTATAAAGGGGGATCCTGCCATTGTAAGTGTTTTTTAAAGTTTTGGCTGAAATTATTTCTGTATCTACTTATCTAGGATAGTGATCATCACTTGGTGCTTTTTGCAGAGGAAACTGAGTCGAAAAGAGAGAAGAAAAGCTTCACAGCTCGAAAGAGAAAAGGAAAGAGAAGCTGCTCGTTTTACTGGCATTAGACATTCCCATCACGATCCATATCGGTTGTTCTCTTGGGTGTCTTCTTTGAGTTCAATAGGTTATTGCCCAGTTTGGTGTTGCTGTGGCTTTTAAGCTGCAACTCTTTTTGCTCCAAAAGTTCATTTTGTAAAATAAAAGAAGTGTGTGCAGCTTGAAAGCCAAGTCTTTAAACAACTTAAAAGCCACAGGGAAGCCAAAAGATGCTTCCATTCCACATCACCTTTCTTTTTATAAAGTACTTCTCCCTCCGTCCCATTGGACTTTGTCAACTTTTCTTTTGTGTTTATCCCCAAAAATTTGTCACTTTCCCATTAAAGTAACTCTACTGTTTGGTTCTACTCATTTCTTTCATCAATGCACAAACATCAACCACACAAGTTTCTTACTTTTTTTATTTCTCACCTAATTGACTAATTCAAATTTGGTAAAGTCCAATGGGACGGGGGTAATAGTTACTTAGTTAAAAAACAGTCTTACAACACAACAGTGCCAAACATAACTACATTCACTACAATTTCCCAACATATTTGAATGTAATTTGTACCACTAGTACCAAACTGCTCCAAAAGTATTTAAAGCTTCATATTGTGGCAGCGTTGGTTCAATTTTTAGGTGTTATAATCTATTTTTGTGTGTCTATTATGCAGTGAGTCTAGACGAAGTCCAACATACGAAGCTTATTCACGCTCTAGAAGGTGGTAATTTGTGCGATCTTCGTACCCACCTAAAAATGGGAATCAGGTTTAGTTTGCGCTGAATCTTTCCCCGTTTTGATAGTTCCAGGTCCAAGTCTCGGTCAAGGTCTCCCTCACACTCCCGGCGTTATAGTCGTGGAACTCAATATGATGATGTGGAGCTGGGAAGAGTTCCAAAGATAGAGTACATAACTGAGTTTGGGGGTTCAGATAATGAAAATGAGCCTAAATTTGAAGGATATTCTCCACCTCGGAGTCCTCGATCTCAAGCTGATGATTCACTAAACCGGTCGGAGCACTTGACCTTTTAATTCTTGAAAAAGCTTCATTGGACAGTCTTTACTCTGCTGCAGATTATCATCCTATGTGTTTCCTGATGATCCAATCTTTAAATGTGATTTAGTTAGGATATCATGACTTCCAGGGATACGAGAAGGAAACCTTTGTTCTGAAGCTTGGTTTTGAATGAATTAGACGAAATTATGAGTGCATTTGACTTGCCACCTTGAGATCAGATATATCTAATGCTTGTGTTTTCTGCAGGCCATCATCTGGTCTCATTCTTGAAGCTCTTCATGTAGATCCTGCATCAGGGGTTTCTGTTGATAAGGAAAAGAATATCAAATTACACAAAACACCAATAAGGTTTTGTTTCCCCCACTTCATGCATTTCACACCACATAGTTAGATGATTCTTTTTTGCTTCACAATGTGTTGTTTGCAAAAAGTAAACTATTATTTGATGGCATTTTTTCGTCATTTTACCCATCTTTAAGTCCTCTATGCTAAAATTAATCTTAAGGGGTAATATTGTATAGTCTTTCTACATTTCATAACTCCTAAATCTCCTTTATATGCTTGATTTCTTCCTAAACAACCCTTATTGTGTTCCGGATGAAGTATGCATTATTTTTTTTTTCAAGGGAAAAGGGTCAAATAGGTCCTCGAACTTGCATAAAAAGGTCAAATAAGCCCTTATATAGAAGACTGTCCGGCTGTCGCCATTTGGGGCGGTTTTCGGTGTAATTTTTTGATCAAATTTTTTGAGCATCTTATTCATCAAGTCTAGTTTGCTCATACCAAATTTCAACTAAAGCTTCAATCACGAAAGCATTAAAATGAATTTTTGAAGATAATTGTGCAGTTAAAAGCGCAGTTATCTTCAAGAATTCATTTGAATGCCTTCCCAATTGAATTGTTAGCTTCAATTTGGTATGAGTAAACTAGACTTAATGAATAAGATGCTCAAAAAATTTCATCAAAAAATTCCACCGGGAACTGCCTCAAATGGCGACGGCCGGAAAGAGCCTCCTATATAAGGGCTTATTTGACCTTTTTATGTAAGTTCGAGGGCCTTTTTTGACCCTTTTCCCTTCTTTCAATATCAGGTCCTAACACAGTTTGCTTGTTTTGTCTTCATTTTTTTGTTTTCTGTAAACAGCTCAACATCTGCAGTAGCAAAATTATGCAAGACCCCAACTAGCTCAATCCTCTCTAAACAACAGGGAGAAAAGAAGGAAACTCCTCAGGAACGGCTCAAGCGAATCATGAGCAAGCAGCTGAACAAACAAAGTATAACCAATTTTTTAATCTTCATCTCAGGAAAAGTAAATAGTTCAATTATATACTACGTAGTAATATTTTCTTCATTTATTAAAATCAGATTTGCAAAATCAAGGATCTCAATCATCTTCACCTTTACGTAGATTATGTCATCTAATTGAATATTGTTCTGTATACTACAGTATGAAAACAATGTATGCATTTTTTTTTGCAGTCAAGAAAGATACAGCTATTGAAACGGCTAAGAAGCGAGAACAAGAAAGACTGAGGCTTGAAAAACTTGCAGAAACAAATAGATTAAGTCGACATCGTCATCGAAGCCGCAGTAGAAGTTACAGTCGGTCCCCTCCAAGGTAGTAAATAAAAATAAGTTACAACAGCTTAACGTTGAAGGTTGCATTCGGGGACTTCCTTAAAAAGAAGGTTCATTTTACATTTAGACTATCTTAAGTTATCTTGTAGCGGTCCTCTTGTTGCTTCTATTTCTTGGACTTTTAGTTTTGTGCATAAAAGACCCATTTTCATGTTTTATCATGATTTTCTCACCCTAATTGTCCAATTAGTGTTAATCAGTTAAGGATCGTTTAGCTGGCTATATAGTGCTGTTTGTTGTGTTGCTAATTCTCTGACTCCGTCTCAGTGTAGTCATTTTGACCAACCTACATTTGTTATTTTACTTTGACAAAGTACAGCTGTCATATAGTGTTGTATGTAGCTTGTTGAAAGCTTTTTTTGAAATCATGAAATTTTAGCTTTATTTGATCAAAGTGAATTCCTTTTGGGGTAAAATGAAATATGACTCTTTTTAGGATGGATGGAGGAAAAATCTTTTAAGGATTGCACCACTTTCACTTGTGCAGAAGATACCGCCGCAGCCGCAGCCGCAGCCGCAGCCGCAGCCGCAGCCGCAGCCGCAGCCGCAGCCGCAGCCGTAGCAGGGGTCGGAGTTCACGAAAGTCCCGCTCAAGGTCAAACTCAAGGTCAAGGTCTCCTGGTCGTTCACACTCCTATTCCCGATCTCGTTCACCTCGGTAAGATTTCTTGCATTCTGTTCTCCATTTTACCATCTCTTGTGCTAGCTGCTTGACCTGATAGATTGGAAACACATTACAGGGTTAGGAGGAGGTCAAGATATTGATATAGTTGCTGCAATGTTGTGGCATAATTCATCTGTCTTACATTGGTGTCACGTAGGATAAAAACTTGATTTTTGTTGTAATTTTTGTTGTGAAATACTGAAATGTATTTACCAAATTTGCAAAGCTCTATGTAGACTGCAAGCTTAATTGAGTTCTCCTGGATAATGTCTGCAATTACTGGGTGTTGCAAAACATGATTTACTTTCAGGTTTTTAACTTCCAAGCTAAATATAAATTGAGATTCCCCTTAAAATATTTAATGAAATTAAATTTTTGGACAAAAATGTGAGCATATTAAATATTGAATGTAAATATGAAAAATATTACATTCAGTCATTCTTGCGTAAAATTGGACGTTATCATATAGTCATTAAAAGTTAGTATCATGTCACATTGTCACTTGGTATAATAAAAGGCCAAAATTTTGTTTGACTATTTTTGTAATCCAGTAATTTCAGTTTGTGGTATATTTGAAATGGACTTGAAGTTTCCACTTTTAATTCTTCAATTGTGATAGAGTGATCAAAATGCTAAAAATGGAAATACCAACAATGAAAAAAACTCATTTACTAACTTGAAATATACCATGCGAAATTGCATTGGGTTTCATTATTTGTTATTTCTCATTTTCTTAAAAATGGTAATAATTTTTTTTATTTTTGCACCAATTTTTATAAAATTTATATCATTTTTTTTTTATTTTTAATGATTTTTCAAATGAGATCAATATTGCCTATGTAATTTTAACATATTATCGAATTGTCATACTCCCACAAGTGTAATTTGACTTGATAATTAAACAAAAGCACGGATGAATAGTAAATGTTATTTTTTTCCAATTATTTTCGTGGTGTAAATCCCACAAGTGTAATTCGACTTAATAATTGAACAAAAAGTGCGGATGAACAGTAAATGTTGATTTTTTTCCAATTATTTTCGTGATGTAAATCCGTTGTAATGAAATGTAACTTCAGTTAGCGATAAATGTAACTTTAGTTAGCGACAATTGTAATTTGTGCCTCGAAAAGCAAGTCAAAATGTAACTTGTCTAATACGCATTATAAGAAATAAAACATTGATTTTAATGAAAATAAGAAGTCTAATTGTTCAGTTACTTTACGTAAATAGTTAATATGTTTTTTAAGGCCATAAAATGATCTTTTTATCTTTTATTTTGCCAAAAAATCATTTTTTCCCCAAAAAAATCATTTTGTTTTTGCAAAAAAGTGAATATATTTTGTTTTTAATATTAAGGCCATAAAAATGTTTTTAATTTTTTTTTGCCAAAAAACATATGAAGTATTTTTTTGGGAAGATAATTTTTTATTTTGCAAAACAATGATTCTTTTGTTTAAATAGTAGCCTGTATGTTGTGATATGATTCATGTTATAGAAAATGTAACTCGTGTTGATTGAAATCTAATTTAAGTGTATGCAAAATGTAACTTCTTGAGACAAGTCCAAATGTTGATAGAAAGATGTAACTCACGCACAAGAAAATGGAACTCCATATAATATCAAATATAACTATAGATATTGTCTATAAACATAACTCACACATACGAAAAATGTATTCTCATGTGTTTTTCAAATTTAAATCGAAATAAACAAACTTAATGTCTATAAAACACAAAATATATATAAAAGAGATAAGAAATATATTATATAAAAAAGTGTATGAATATAAAAATATTTTACAAAAAAGTGTATAATAAATGTAAAAAAAAGTACACAAAGTAAGAAATAATTTATGATTATGAAATACAATATACTTATTTTATGTGGATTTCTCATAAAATTGTAATCCTTTTTTAGACCCCTGCACAAACTTGAAGGGAAAGTAGGGAAGGGAAATGCACATTCAGTCATTAAGTGATGGCTACTACTACTCGCTTTCAACATAGGAACTTTTAATCTTTGTATTAAAAAAAGCTGTGCGAAGAACGACGCTGCAGAAAAAAATACAGTGAAGAATGGGAGAATAAAAGCTGGTCAAGCGAGAGAAAGCATATTTGACTGGATTGTTTTTAATTAAAGAAACGGTACCGTATTGGGATCGGTGTACCATGAGCATGGTATGCTGATCCCACGGCATAATTTGACACTCAAAATGTGGCATGTGGAGTCCAAATTTTAAACTAAATACTTCGTACTTATTATTATGTAAACACAAAAGTGTTAGTCTCGCTGAAAATTGATGATCTTGAATGTTTTTTTTTGTACAATGGAAAATGATGATCTTAAATGTTACTCCATATCATTTATCAACTATTGATGGTGAAGCAAACTGATACATTTAAAACGACCACGAACGACTGAATGGTGGAAGTACATATAGTAAAAGTGTAGGAGATTTTACAAGTTTGGGATTCTAATGCAAATAAAAAACATAAATTCAATTAGCAAATCAAATTGAATAAGTTTTCTAAATTCAATTAATTAAATAATCACTCTATAAACAACAAATCAAATCATTCTACATGTATACGTAGAGAAAATAGAATATGCTCAGAGTCGAATCAAAAGTGTAAAGTAGCCACTATTTAAGAGAATTTGGCAAGTAATTCTAAATTTCAAGAAAAAGGACAGCAGAACTGCAAAGCGTTCCAAATTAACCACAATCGGAATTTGGACAAGGTATCAAAAAATACAAGTACATTGTAATACTTCTTTGGCACGACTATCCAAAGAACGAAGAAATTTGGATCTTCACTTTGTTCGACATTCATGTTGCTGCTACGACTAGGGATGAACCCGGGCCGGGTCCGGGCGAGCTTTTTTGTTAGAAACTTGGGCCTGGAACCAGCCCGGGTTGATACCGGATCCGGTCCGGGTCGGGCCTACCCGACCGGGTAGTGGGCCGGTTCGGGCTGGACCCGGGCTATGTAATTTTTTGTTTAAATATTAAAGTAAGATTACTTGGACATAAAAAAGTTAAAATATATTTATTTGAAATATGTAGTACAATTGAAAATTGAGCAAAAATTAAAACATGAAATACACTTTTGATAAATAAGAATCAATCGGAATTTCCGTCATCTTGAGTTGTTTTTTCCATAAAGTGGCGGATGGATTCAATGCTAATTTCTTGAGTTCTACGTTTGACCTTCAACCAATCGTGGAAGCAAACAAGCATCTCAAGCGTCTCAAGAGAGTTTGCCGGTTCAAAGCACAGTAGCGGGCCGGGCCCATTTGGTCCATCCCTAGCTACGACACACATATTAGTTTCTTCAGTAAGCTTAAACAGTTAAACTCATGCTATTAAAATCATTATGCTTATCATTTTGTTGAAATATAATTTAATGACTATATTTCTTAAGCATTTATGTTATATAGCGATGAGATATTGGAAATAGGGAGTGAAGGAATTATAACTAAAATCACTTCTAAGTTATGACAAATCTAAATAGTTTAATTCACATTCATTCTAAATTGAGTTAAAGTTATCGTGTAATTTGTTATCCTTCAAAATCGAGCATTTGAAAGGAGAGCCATAAACCCTCTTCATCTTTCACCTCTAATCCAAAACTTAACTCCGGAACTACCCTAAAAGAAAAATTCTAATTTCTGTAATGTAATGTAAACCGGAAGCCCCCATACATAATTACACGGCCTACAATAAATCAGGCATAATAATCCCATACAATCCAGTAACTTTCCTAAGTAATGGTCAAATAAAACTAATTTGAAGATCATCATAAACAAATGGACACAAGAAAAATTTGAGGTAGTTAACTTACATAGCCTAATGATATCATTCCATGAGCTACACACACGCCTACACTTGTTGCAGTCCACAGTACGTAACACCACATTTGGACCCCACACAGGGGTTATGTAAAACCTCAACCTATCTACAAATATGTGCTCCCGCTAATGCCAAATAAGTTGTCATCTAGATGACTGCAGTATTGCTGCTAAAAATTAGACGCTCTTCGCGCAGAGATGTCTTTTCTTCAATGACAGACACCCAAGTTTCAGCCACTTTGGTTATTTTACGATCTTCAAATTCCACCACAGTGAAGGCCCGGATTGAACCTCCACTGTCTGGATATTGCACCCTTGGAACAATGGCAGCATTCAGATACATGGTATTGTCAGCATCAATGTGTATCATCTTCCGGAAGCCTCCTTTTGCCAGTTGCCTATGCATGTGCCCGAAAACAACCAAAGGTACGTGATGATTGGTGGTTTCTTTTACCAGAGATATCGCTTGAGCTAAATCTGCATCATGAAATGAGCAAAATTTACGCTCATGCCATAAGATTAAGGACCTGTTAATCTGACAATAAGTTGAAGAGAGTCGAAAAGAGGAGCACTGGTCAAAAGTACCTGGATCCCCGTGGTCTCCTCCCTCACACTCCCAGTCTCTGCCACAGATGTCATTAATATTAGAACCTAGACCTGGAAATTAGACTCCATGTGTCAGGCAAACAAACATACACATTGTATAAAAAACAATATTTATATAAGTATACTAAGCACTTGGTACTCTTGCAATCATCCACAGAAACTAACGAATGAAATCATCACAAAGAGTCTAAGGGTGTTTGAACTGATAGGGTTGTGAGAAACCATTCCTTATGACGAAATGGGGCATGGGCATTATGTCCTTTTTTTCTTGGGTGCCCATTTTGTATGGGCCTTTTAGTTTAATGTTTCTATTCAGTGGACGTGGTTATTGGCAAGAACTTATAGAATCCATAATTTGGGCTATCAGGAACACACTTCAGCTATCACTATGCTCACTATCCTGTAAAGTAAAACTTGTGCATGGAATTAGAAAAGATGGTATCAAGAGATATCAGAAGGAAATAACCAAGGGGGCATTTAGACCACAGAAACACATGTGATGAGAAAAAGATCATATGCTTCTAATTCGAAACATAACACAGTTACATTTGCCTAACAACAGGATAACGAGCACATAAAGTACATCAATGTCATTGCTATTCTATAGAAGTGAATTTGCAGGTACGTGAGAACATCTTTACAGGAGCTAGGAAGAGAACAGAGCTAATTAAAAGTTCAAACCAGTAAATCACATTTGAGAAAGCCACCAGCATTTTAACTCTATCGATCTCTTAAATCTTCTCCAGAAGTACAGTAAATTTACTTAGGGTTTGATTGGTTTGGGGATTCCAGAGGAAAGGGAAGAGAGTAGTGATTTTTATTTCACTAGCTAACATCTACTCCGTATTTGTTAGTTTCAACTATAAATAACTATTGTGATGAGTTATTTTAAATATAGCCTTTTTATGTTCACTCTATTTCCATCCATCTAAATGTAGAAGTTTAAAAAAAGATTTATCATTCATCCCCTCACCCCTAATCTTAGCCAGAACCTGAAACCCTAACAAGTACCCTATTCTATCTAGTTTTTTTTATTAACTAGTTCCAACTTATGCTGCAACAGGTGATTCGCTAAAAGAGAAACTGGTCACTTGTCACGGTTAGAGTAGACGGGTTTTGCTTATTTTCATCTTTGGGTTGATTTGACGCTAGAAAATGATCTATTGTTTGGAGTGAAAGTGCGAAACCATTTCGTAGTTTTTGGGTTCAACCCCAATCTTCCTTTCTTTGGGTTAGATCACTTTAGAGTTTAGACTATTGGAGGGTGTAGACATCCTCATTTACCAAGATGCTAACCACTTTAGAAATTGAAAATTTCAGGTTATTTGAAAATGAATGAGAAATTATGGATTAGAGCACAGATTCCAGCAATTTAATCCAAGAAAAAAATATGGATTAGATACATATATACACATACATAAAGAGCACTTTCTTCAGTGAACTCAATGCAATTAGTACCTGATGGTCCGTTATGAGCAAGAAATATAATAGAGTGATCGTGTGGAGTTCCTATAGCAGCCTTGTGTATTTTCTGTGCACTTTCTTCCATGTTATGAACTCCATATCTGAACAGACCAGCAAGTAATAGGTAGCATAAGAAGGCCAAACAGACCAGCAAGTAATAGGTAGCATAAGAAGGCCAAACAGACGTTGTAAGGCTAAATTGCACAAAACATTAATGTTATTATAAGATAATGAGAATGAAAACAATGAGTGTGATATTGCTTAGAACGGCCAAACAGACCTGCTATTGCACAATAACTGCACTGTGTGAAACAGAAGAATGAAGAGCCCGTTTGATTAACCAGGTTATCAGGTTAATCAGGTTTATCAAGTTTATTAACCAACTTTCCACCACGTAACTTTTAATTTGGCATGTTGAATTGCGTAATAATAAGTAAAGTAAAATTGGAGTTACTTTTCCACTGAAATTACTACAGGATCATGTATGTGTTTTTTCATATAACTTTTTTGTTTATTTTAATAATAAAATATATTTTAAATATAATTTTTTCATAAATCAACCCGGTATTATCATCCAAAATTGCAACGTGTAATCAATAACTAAATAAATATTATACCTTGCAGTTATAAGCTTCTTCCTGAACAACTGATCGCCTCCACAGGAAAAAGGTCTCCCACCTACAACCCTAATCTGGAATGCAGGGAAGTCCAGGTGAGCGTATCCGACGTGCTGTTCACCGAAGCATTCCAGCTGAAGCTGAACTCCGTCTTTTGTCTTCTTGGTGAACTTGGAAGTCGACCAAGAATCGTGGTTTCCAAGTATTGCTGCTTTGGAAATGTTAATCCCGGCCGCGATAGCCCTTACAAGCTCGACATTCTCATTGCCAAAGTCACCGGTGAAGAGCACTAGATTCGGCTGTAAATACTGAAGTGCCTGGAAGTCATGCGCTGATTCCCAATCCTCATGGATGTCCCCGACGATAACAATACGAAAGGAGGAAAGTACAGATGATGACGACGACAATAAACAGGGAGTCTGAGGCTCCATGGCTGGGGAGTGTTTTAACTTTTAATTACTACGAAGTACTTCGGATTTACTTATCACAGAGAAGGTGTGGAAAGAAAGGTGTGGAACTGCAGGTGAATTGCTCGCAGTTTTTAGGGGCTCGCCGGGGTTCGATGGGGATGAAGGGTGGTGAGGGGATGTATGGGTTGGCAGATTTACTTTCCGGCTGGATCTATTTTCCTCTCGCCGGTGCCACCGGGTGGTCGCCGGAGCCTGGTGGCTAAGTAGTGCATCCGGAGATGTAAAAGCTCAGGGCGCGGTCGGCAGTAGCAGCGGACAGCAGTGCCCGGTGACCGGTGGATGGGATGAACGGTGGGGAAGCTCCAAAAAACGCTGCTTTCAATTTGTGAGTTTGAGCGGTGAGGGTAGAGAGAAGGGGAGGGGAGGGAGATGAGAAGTTCCCTGCTCTTCTTTTGTAGTTACAAATTTCAAAAAGGAAGGTTTTGGGACTTATAAAATTTTTGAGCCGAAATTGTATTAGTTGAAGAGGATAAATATGTCATTTGCGTAGCTATACCTTAGAAAACTCTCAAATTAGGGGAAGGCATCCCTGGTGCGTACTGTGGGCTGCTTGGTACTCTGGGCCTGTTGGGCCTCTAAAGGAGTAGTAGGAGTCTGTGGGCCGGGTGTTCCCGGGCCATATACTCCATCAGGAGTCCCTCACTCCTTTTGCCGAAAGGTATTTGAGGGAAAAGGAGTAATTTGTGCTTGCCCTTTGATGTTGTCCTGTCGTGATCTCTGAAGTTGGTGAGGAGTTGTTGCTTTTATGTCCGTGCCGAAGGCAGTCCCTCAGTTACCCACATGTCGGGACTTGAGGGCTTGCTTTGTCGTTTGTTGGAATTTTACTAATTTTGTAATTTAATGATTTTCCCGAGGGGGTCCTCCAGTCCCCCACTCCTTGAGGCACTTGTAAAGTGGTGAAAAGGAGTAAAGTAGTTGCGTTGTTGTTGATTAGCCGAAGGCCGACGCTTTTCGTTTCATTTTGGGGGGATGCCTCGTTAAAAACCTCATTAGAAAAAACCCTGTGGGAAAAAACCCTAATGAGGGAAAAAGAGTGCACCGGATTCCCCCAATGATGAATCGAAAATGTCAAACCTTGGTCAAAAATGGAGAATAACGGTAATGCCGAAGGCTCTTCTTTTCCTGAGGGCTCATGTGTTGATCAGCCGAAGGCTTGCTGTTGATGTCCTGGGGGTGCCGAAGGGAGCCCCTCAATCTGGGGATCGAGGGCATGATGGATGAGGGCAGTAATTGACTATGCCGCCGGGGGGTCCCCTGCTTGATGGTTAGTTGGTGATGAGGATACCCGAGGGCTCCCATTACCTGCGTGCTGTAGGCTATCCGTCAATGAGGCAACTCCCCGGGGGCTATCCGGTTTTACAGTGCTGAGGGGGAATCCCCGAGGGGTGCCCTGATATGAAGCCTTGGGTTTCTGAAAGAGTGATCCCGAAGGCGTCTGTTATGTGCTGTGTGGGGCACAACCCGGGGGCGCTTCTGGGTAAGTGTACCCGGAGGCTCTCCTTGATGAAGTGGAGTGAAGTAGAAAACCCGGGGGCTTCCAGAATATAGCCGTTGGAAATATAGCCGTTTGGAATATGTAGCGTCAGATTTATAGCCGTTGGGGGGGGGGCACACGTGGCGCGTGATGGCTGGCTGTCCGTGGGCGACATCACTGGTTGGGCGAAGACGCGGTGTGTAATGATGGCGGTCCATCCGGAGGCCCGGAATCCAGGCCCAAGCCCGGATTCCAGCGCCTATAAATACCCCAAGGCCAGGGTCATTCCTTCTTGTGCGATCATTTGTCTTAGCGAAGCTCTGCCAAAAATTCTAGAGAGAGAAACTCAAGCCTTCGGTCCAAAACTCAGCTTTCAAGGTCAGTGCCCTGCTCTCCTCTCAAAAATTTTAGTAAGTTCCGCCCCCTGGCCTTAGATTAGGGTTAGAATCCCGTAGAAAGCCTTCGAAATCTTAGGCACATTCGTGATAAACAATGTCGTCCGAGAGCGATTCCCAGGACATCTCGAGGACGCCCTCGGTGGAAGACGAAGGTATCTCCGATGTGGAGTGGTGTGTAGCATATAATGGGCACACAACTATTTTTTTTTTTACCCAAGGAAGTAGGGTGTCGAACCACAGAGAAGCGGGAAATAAAATAATTAAGCACAAACTAAGGATTAAAGTTGGGAATGCGTTTCTTTTGATTTTTGTTTACTTGGAAAAGTAATTAAATAAAAGTGATTGAGAGAAGAGACTTTTATCAACACAAAGTTCAACCAATAGCAAGTAGGGGTAGAAATTGGCAACTAATTGTTCAATGCTCATTTGTAAGACATAATTGCTAATTTTATTCTTAGATAGATTGTGAGAAGTTGTAGATAAATATTTTAGGACCCAACACAAGTCACCTAAAATAAGTAACTAGTCAACATTTCCCAGTGATGGCCAAAACGAGACTAGTTGTTTAAGTGCAACGACAACTTTAATTATTAACTATATTATTTACCCAACCCCGTGGTGTAAATAATATAATTAAATAATTAAATTCTCCCGTAAAACTTCAATCCGGGACAAGGTAAAAGAAGTTTAACGGTGTGTTCAGAAAGTGTTCATTTGTGTATTTAACAAACAATATGTTTATGATTGAGTACTCATAATATATATCACAAACACAACATAATTAAGTTTCTGGACACAACAATCTAAATAGAACAAACTTAACAATTAAAATCCATACAAATTAAAACATGATAAGAACAATTAATTAACCAATTTCTAGCCCCAAATTTATTTAGCTATACATGTTGGGAAACATAGAAATAGATGAATCCATGATTAAAGTACAAGATTTAATGAGATAAGAAAGATCAAACTTGTGATAGATGACAATCCTTGGAGCTTTGATGCTAATCTTGACTTAATCTTGGATGAGAAAGTGATTAGTTATGGTTGAAGATGGATTGATGATTTGGGGTTGAGAAATGAAGAGAGAAGGAGGAGGAAATGTTTCTGGGATGTTTAGAGAGAGGTTGGTCCGAGCTTATGTGTGGAGGAAGATGGATTAAGGCAATATAATGATAAGGTGATTAATCATTAATTGCTGGAATTTACGAAACAGATGAGTTTATGTACAACAAAGCGCAGTAAAGTTCCAACAGTAGCAGGTAGTTCAACGGATAAGCATTTCAGGGGAAAACTCGAAGATCATGGGATCGATTCAGATCGATTCTTGGCTTCAACATTTTGTTCTTTTTCTTTGATGCGGTCACAAGCAATATATAAAGCACCGGCTGATTACGTACAACATTGGCCACTTAGCACATTGGTTGTAATAAGCATTCTTCTACCCTTTCTCCAAGGATCGAATCCCAGCTCTACCATTTTTATTTTTGCTTCTTTTCTTCAATTTACTCCTTATTTGTTTTGAAGGAAATTCCACTTTTATTGACCTCCAACTTGAACTTTTATTTTCTTCTTTTGTTCACTCTAATGTATCCAAATAGCATCAAAAGTACCTGAAAATACAAAATACCCGTGTAGGACTGCACAAGTACAAACTAACGACAAATTATAAAATATGTACAAAAGTAGAATTTTAATAACTAAAATTAACAACAAACTAAGCCTAAAAAGTGTGTAAAATATAAGTACATCATGGAGTCCAGTAGCAGTCAGCCCTCGGGTGGTGGTGATGCAGCTCTCGCCACCGAGATGCAGAAGGATTTGGTGGCCGAGGTCGAGGCGGAGGAGTTCGAGCGAACCGCCGAAGATGAGGAGCTAGCCCTCGCCGTCCAAGTTGCTGAGGAGGAAGAGGAAAAGGAGAGGGCGAAGGTTACCGTCGCTGTCCTCCCCCCCCCCCCGGGGGGGGGGGGGGGGGGTTCTGGGGAAGCAAGTAGCTCGAGGCCACTGGACCCGACGCCTTTAAGTGTAGCCCCCGGGAAGAAGAGGAGGAACACGAAGGCTGGCCCCCAGAAGAAAGTAAAGGCCGTCGATCAAGGGGGGCCAGTTGATCTACCGGAGGGTTACTCCTTCCTGGACACCGCCGCTCTGGAGATTAAGTCCCAAGCTGACAGGGCGGACATCTACATCACCCAGTTGCACGTAGGGCCCTCGGCCATAGTAGTCGAGCCAGGTCCTGATGACGTGTTGTCCCGGCCTCCCGAGGGATGTATAGCCGTGCACGTGCTCTCGGTTTCAATGGGCCTCCGGTTCCCTCTCCATCCGTTCCTCCGGGAGTACCTGAGGTACACTGGCCTGGTTCCTTGCCAATTGACCCCCAATAGCCATTCATACATAGCTGGGTTTGTGAACCTGTGCAAACTCCGGGGGGTTACACCCAACTTGGAGTTATTCTTCCAAAGCTTTAACCTATGCCGGGGGGGCATACTAATGCCGAGGGCTATGCGAACTTACAGCAGATAGCCCAGTTCAAACTGTTCACCGAGGCCCCTTCTTCCAACAAGGGGTGGAGAGAGCGATGGTGCTACATCAGACTGGCCGACAGCCCTTTCCCGAGGGAGTTGCGGAATCGCTTTCGGCGCCATGTGAAGGTCAAGAGTGCCGCCCTCGAGAAGGATGGCCTGAAGATTGCCAAGATTCCGGAGGGTCGGGATAAGAACATAACCATCAAGGAGTGCATCCTCGAGGAAGACCTGTATGCCCTCGGATTCCTGAGGTATCGGTTCATTGGGGAGACCGATGAGAAGTATCCCCTCTATGATAAAGCCTTCGTGGGAGCAGGAGGTAGTGGCCGAGGGCTTTAGATTTTTGTACTTAGAGATTTTTTTGTCGTGTTTGTCGTTGTGTCTCTGACCCCTCGGTTCTAACCTTTTAACTTTTTGTTTCTTTGCAGGTAGCAAGATGAATGCCAACGCCCTGTTCGCAAAGAGGAAGGGCAAGACCCAGTCAAAGGAGAAGGGGCCCTCGGGCCAGAAGCCAGCCGACGCATTTTTTCCGAAGGTAGTAGAGCCTTCCGCCGGGGACGTCCATGCTGCCGTGGGGACCGGGGGGCCGAAGCCCGAGGCGGACGTGAAGAAGAAGAGGAGTGATAAGGGGATGGAGCCCCCCACCAAGAAGCAGAAAGCCGCCGGGGGCGCCGTCGAGGGGGCGGCCCCCCTCATAGTTATTGATGACACACCCGCCGCTGATGGGCCCCTGGCCTCGGTCACCCCGAAGGCTCTGGTGAATCCATCCCCGGAGGAATTACCTCGGGAGATCCGTCAGCTCTCCTTTGCCCCCGGCGCTTCCCTGATGCACGGCACTGCCGAGCCGAGGGCCTTCCTGCGGGGCATCACCTCGAAGATGGACAGGGAAGTCTTCGAGACCTACGATGATGATGCCCTCGAGAACAGGATCCTCCGGTCCTCTCTCACTGTAAGTATCTGCTTCCTTTTTCCTTATCT